AGCCCTTTCTTACTAAAGAGCCATATATGTGATTTTTGCCACTTGGAGGTTCTGCAGGCACTTCAGTATGTTCAGAATTGAATTTGTCATTCCCCCTAAATTGCTTTTCCTCCTATATTCCTCACACCACAGAGTCATTACCATCATTATCAATCAAGCCTTCTTCTAAATGAATGTGACAGCACACTAAACTAGGCCCTGGAGTCCAAAGACCTGGGTTAGAATCCTGGCTTCACTAGGACTAGGAATGTGGCTGGCTAGATTCCTTTCCCTCATAAAACCTCATTTTCATCTTCTGTAAAATAGGAGTAATAATAGTGCTTACTTTCTATGATTTTATAGGACTCTTCTGAGGATTCAGTATAGTCAGGCACAGAAAGCACTTAGCACAGGGCCTGGAAAACAGCAAGCGCTCAATAAATGTTACAGTGCAAATCTGATTGATTGTGTCAGCACCCGGCAAAACCTTCTGGGTTTCACAATGCTCCAAGGTTAAATCTACTTCTTTAACATGATTTGCCAGGCCCTCTGTGCCCTGGTCCTTGCTTACCTCTCTGGCCTATCTGCTGTCTCCTTAGTTACACCACTTATCCCAGACATACTGAACTGCTTTCCTTGCCCAGAGTGTACTGTACTCTGAGCCTTCCCCACTATAGCAGAACTTTTCCTACTCAGCCTGGAGGTCACAGCTTAGATAATAGTTCATTTGGGAAGCCTTCCCAGGTATCTTCGTCTTCTGTGTTCCCTATGTGAATGCTTTTCCTACTATATTTGCCCTATATAAATGTTTTTCCTATGGTATTATCACTTGTTTAATTATCCATTTTGTCCATAACTCTCAGTTTCCTGACCATAAGCATCGAGTCAGGTCCACTGACAGTTTTTATCCTAGCCTTCAGCAGAGACCTGGCATATAAAGATACTCTTTAAATTTTTTGAACCAATCAGCTGCTTGATTGCTGTAATTTTATACCCTGCTATGTTCCAATAAAGATTTAAAGTGGCAAACATAAATATGTATGTACAATAACAGCAGCACCACGACATAAGAAAAAAAAAATTAAGGTAAAGGGACAATAAAGGGATGAATTTAATAGACAGGTTATATGTTACAAGGTTACTGTATACATCAGACATATGATATAAGCTCTATAATCCTATAAAGTATAGGTCTATAAATTGGTCCTGAGCTTTCTGGCATCTTCTGTATAAGGGAACTGAATGGTATCATTGACAAGGGCCATAAGGTTAAAGCAAACCACATGCTCGGAAAAAGCATGACCATTTCTGAAGGACTTGAGAGAAAGATCTTTGGTTCCTCACAGAGGACATTGTGCACTGTCGTGCCCAGCAGCCTCACAGCATCTTTAATGTTAACTGTTCCACGTAGCCTCAGAGCGCTTGCCCACATGGGCTAATGGCAGAAGGAGAAAGAGTAGTTCAGTAAAAACAGCCTCATAAGAGCTCCAAACATTGTCTTAACTCTAAAGGTGTGGAGAGACTGCATGTCCTTCAAATCATTCTCCACAAATGGTATTTTACTCACTGAGCTTTGGATGAGAATTGGTTTGTACAGATTTTGGTTACTCTTCATAAAGCATCTATTGTGCAGATATTTTGTATCACGAGCTAAGTACAGGTCCAAGGGCTTTACTCGTAGGTGGAAATGGGTATAGGCTTCTCTTAGGGAAGTTGAGCCTGCTGAGGTTTTACTCAGGAACTAAAGGTGACTTTACGTCTGAACTGAGGGTGGCCAGTGTGGCCTGCAGAAAACAATTGAGATTCATGTGTTTTTGTTTGCAGTACTTAACAGAATGGTGCCTTGCGCATGGTCAATAGACCACTGCCCGAAGCTCAGTCCCTGTCTGTGTGGCCTTTCTCACCTTGTTTCTGGCTGTAACTCCATGTCCTCTGTTCTAGCCAGGTCGAACATGCTTTTCTCATGCTATTCCTTTTCCTGAACTGTTCCCAGTCATCTGGGTAGCTCCTGTTGGTCCTTCAAGACAGTTCAAATGCCCTTTACATTTCAGACAATCTCTTGACCAGGTTCTTGGGCTTTCTTCTTACTCTCGTCATATTCCATGCGTTTGTCAGTCACTTTTTTCATATTTTCTATAATCAGTGATTTTTTTTTTTCTTTTTTGGTCCATCTCTCACTCGGACTCTGAGCTCCTTTAGGGTAGGTACTGTGTTTTGTTGATTTTTATAGCTGAGGTCCTAGTGTCATGAGTATTACAGGTACTCAGTATAGATTTGTACAAATTTTTGTAGCTGCTGTTTTCAGCATGTCACACACATGCACTTGTGATTAGTAATGCCCCCTACCACCTTCAGTATTCACTGCAGGATACATGTAAGGCTGATTTCCCCGCCCCCCAGATTATCTATACTATTAGAAGGGACATACGGAAGCATATTATTTGCAACTTACATGAACAAGCTCTTGGCATTTGATCGTGTAAAAATCAGTATGGAATTGTGGTTCTTAAATGTTTCCCGGTTTATTAGTATTTCTACTCAGCGAGTTTCAGCCTCTGAGATAGTCCTGAGAAGACAGTCATTGCAGCCTTGTGCTTCTCTGTACCACTTGACTTCAGTAGGAGAAAAATCTTGTTCTGGGGGTATGTACTATTTCTCTAACACCGGCCAGCTATAATAAATGCCGACTAGTGTGAAAGGTGAGCCTCAGTGATGAGTTCATGTCTTATGGCACCATTAATAAAAATCCTCAAAATACATATTCTCCAATTGGTGAGATTACCATTTTCACAAATGAGTGAAAATTATATACAAGCTGTATTTTACTCATTCAAAATGCCTAAGTATTGATACTCTGTTATAATGTTTATATTATTTTCTTAAGAGTAGTACACTGAAAAATGCTGATAACTGTTGACACTTACAAAATATGTTTATTTTAAAATTTAGAATTGTGGAAGAAGCTTTGTAAGTAAAATTTGTGGAATTGTCTTCGAGTGATAACTTTCTGTAGGCTGTATACTGACTGTAAAGAATATTGTTACATACATTAAACCCTTCTTTCAGTTTTTCCTTCTGAAAGCATTAGTGAGACAGCTGAACCAACAGCAGAGAATGCTGGCAGCTCTGCCATAATGGTGTTATCTCACCGAGTGGCAGCTAAGCACTAAATCTTTATGTCCTTATAATGTTGTTTTGAAGCAAAATAAGAGTTTCAGTGCGTGTGCACAACGTATGTAACAATATCATACTTCAGCTTCCTGTTCATATGAAAATCAAAGTTTATTCTCACCAAAGCTGAGAATGTTGGCCTGAATCTAACTGCTGTGGACACTTTAATCCAGAAATTCATCTGAACAGGAAATTATGCCTGCCTTTTTGTTTTATATGGTATATAATTTCATTGTGGATGTATCATTTTTCTTTTCTGGGCTTGTCCTAAAAGCCTTACAGCTTTAACTTGTTTCTCCTTTTTTCTGAGCATGTGTCCCATTTCCATATTTTTAAAGGTTATGCCCTTTCTCTTTTAGCTTTATAGATTTTTTTTCTTATTCAAAATAGTTTTTCTATATTTTTTCCAGTTGCTAGGACCTTTTCTCGTTTTGATTTTGTTTTTAAATAAATTGATGTTTGTTTTGAGTATTGCAAAGGTATTGTTAAAACAATACTGACCTTGCTGGTGTGCGTGAGTGTGTGCTTATGCGTGTGCACATGCAAACCAAGTTCATGTGCCCTCACTTTTTAAAAATAGATTCTGATCAGAAATCAGTGCCACAGGAACATGAAACTAAATATAGAAGTTATTTGCTTATTAATGTTGAAAATTATCTGAATAGCTTTCTAAATGAAAGAATTTTTTTCCATTTTATTTTGCATAATTATATAAAATAATTATGTTTACATTTACTATTATATATTTTATAATATAAGCATCCCTGTATTTATCATTTGATTTCTAAGAGCGCCCAAATGTACTTTGTCATAGAATCTGGACTGAGCAGAACAAGTCCTGGGCAGTTATCCTAAGTTGGCCTTTCTATGCTACATGAAATGTAAGGTGTTGAAAGTATGTTAGTAACTTTCTAATTCACCTGCTTTCTCATAACAAAGTTATGTAGGAGAGGAAAGCACACGTGTTCTCAATAGCTTTCATTCTCTCTGCACCTAAGTACTGCATTTGACCACATGGAGCAAATTGCAGGTATTCTCCTTCTTGTAAGAATACTGACTTGTCAGAGCATGCATGTACATACAACATGCCTATTTTAGTGTGTTTATTTTGTGATAATTAGTAACTTAATACATAATAATTTTCATTGTGACTTAGTCATCTTTTTCATAAGGAATAATAATTGAAAGAGAAATTAAATATAACCACTAACGTACATTTATTTCTTAACCTTTGTTTTATCAAGTGCCTTTTCCAGGCATAGTCTCATTTGAATGTAAAAAACAGCAATCTACAATGTGTTGGATTGTCTTCATTCTAATACTTTACATGAATAAAAGTTGCCGTCATAAATCTTTGAACAGCAAGTGTCCTGTTTGAGCTCTTCTTGTCTTTGTTGTTCTCTGTTGCTCATGTTACATGCCTGTTTGTGGTGACTAAGATACTCCTCACAAATACTTGAGTACTGTTAAGTAAACAGCTGTCTGTAATTCCTTGTTATTTATTATATAGAACACACTTTAAAAGAATCTACAGTGTGTGGTTATTTGTAGACTTAAACAACAAGCCTTTGATACAGTGAGGGTGCTACATAATTTTTAGATGTTAAATATGAGAAATTTGTGTTGAGAGTTGTCTTATCTGTAGGTTAACAACTGTTTGCTTTGATAGATTTTACCTCCCCAGACTCTGCATTCTTTGGCTTAATCTTGCATTGTATAAATGTAGTCTGAAAATAGTTTGGGGTTCCATGTGGAAATTTTGACAAAACTTTTGAGACTGCTGTACAAAAGTTTTAAAATCCTGTATTCATAGTTTATTTATGATTTACATCTTTCCCATTTCCTCATAGATTTGAAATGGCCTTTAGCAGAAGATAAAATAAGAAAAACGTGGCTCACGGTGTCAAAGCCAGGTATTAAAGTATGTGTGTGCATAGGGCTTGAGGGGAAGACGTATTATTATCCAAGCGAAGAAAAACTGCTTCAGTCAAACATAAACCTTAGCAGTGACCTTCTTAGAAGTCAAGGCATAAGGAGTCGTCCTAGATTTTACTCATTGCACTAAGCTCTTGGTGATTTACAATGTTGATGAGCTAGTTTATAGCAGAAAAGGAAGTATTAGTCAATGTCTTTTCTGGGCACGGTTATCACTGCTCTTGGGTAGGAGATCTGACTGAGTTCGGTTAACTAGCACTCCTCAAAGCTGGACAACAAACTATTCCTATTTTTGCAGACTGCTGTTAGTTGTTATTATAAAAGATCTGCCACTTGGCCCTGATATGCTTCCAGTCAGGAGAGGCACTTCGCACTGTTGGTGTGAGTATATGGAAATTACTTTGAACATTCTTTTCTGGGTCAGGGGATTTACTTGCTTTCATCCAGAACAGAATTTTAACAACCACAATACATTCATAATAGTAATCCAAGCAAAGTTTCCAAATAGTTTACGAATTAATCTTTGTTAACGAAATTATTAATAACCTTTCTGATCAGTAAAAATATCATTAATATGTTGGTTCCAATATTAGTTTCCTTAATAATTCAAGTAGACTGTAGCTGCCTCTTATGTTACTAAATCAGTCATAATGAAGGCTTACAGTTTAATACTTTAGGGATGGATATTGGTGAGAACTGAAATTAGGAAGGATTTGATGGGAAATACTGACTTTTGTTTAGACTTGACAGATGAACAGAATTTGGGCAATGGGAAGCATGTCATAAAGTTTGTCCTGTATGCATTAAATTTAAAATTATGATGAAAGGTGTTTGTATTTAGATATTCTAAAGAAAATACCTTTTTTTCTGTAAATGCAAATAATCTGAATCTTAGGTAAAGCCTATTTTTATAGTTGATACTATATGATTAAGGCATGCTGGTGACAGCATGAAAATAAAAAATTGTGATGAACATCTTCGTGTGTTCACATTTGGAAAGTTAGTGTATGATCAAGTACCATGGAGACCGTATACCAGGCAGAAGAGAAGGGTGGAAGTGAACTGGCAGAGCAAGGGGAGAGTTTAGGGAACCAGGGGTGGAATTAGATCCTGAGGAACAACAGGATTTGATTTGCTAAAGATACTGGGAGAGTACAGTCGGGCTTGGAGATCCAGTGTTGGAGACTGCCCTGACTGGAACCCAAAGTTCATCCTTTTAAGTGGTAAGAGCTAGAGTTAGAGAGGTAGTCTTGGTTGTTGTGAAGTCTCACTTCTAACAAAGTGAAAAATAAAAGGAGTCAGAAATGGTGGGAGTTGTGAAGGTAGCATTTAGGACTATAAATATTCTGGGACTGGTGAGTAAATTGTTCCCTTCTTAGTATTCTAAGAGAGTTGATTATCTTCCTAAGCAGTTTACTACTTGTTCTCAGATAAAATAAGATCTGTTGGCTTTCCATCACCATAGTCATCCCAAAATAGTCTTTTATTTTGAGATTTCTGTATTAATTATGTTCAATTTAAAGGAAGACTCGGTAAAAGTAATTGCATCTCATGTTTTTTTTACATCTCTTTTGATCCATGAGTGAGGTATTTGCAGAACTGTATGATGGCATATAGTAGGAAAAAAGTATGATTCATCCTAATTACAAAGCTGTTTCCTAAGAAAGAATCATTGTAGAAATATCTTATTTGTGTTTTTACAAATGGTTTTGACTTAAAAAAATCTTGCCTTTTCTGTGTATGGCTGTAAATGGCCATAATTTTATATTGCAGTTTTTTTGTGTGTGGGACCACTTACTTAGTGCCTGTCACCCCTAGTGATCTACAGAGTTAGCCATAAAATCTAAGCCCCATCCCCTAATACCTACCCCAAACTTTAATAGCTGTGCCTTAAACCATGTTTTTAACGTTCAAAACCCAGATAGGGAGTCCCTTGATATGTATTGACAAATATTGATTTCATCTAAATCAATCTTTTTCAGCAGTAGGCCAATTTGCAAGGTTCAATACTCGTGGACTTTGATGGATTCATTTTCTAAAACATTAGCAACTTATCTGAAATTCTAGGTGCCAATAGAATCTTTGGATATAAAGCCTTAGAAGAATCCTCTGGGTACAACACTAGGATGTATTTGTTGACCTTAGAGAGAGTAGTTTCACAGGAATGGGGGTGCCAGAAACCAGATGTGAGTGGAGTGCAGATTGATGTGAGTGAGTGGAGACAGCAAGTTTACATGCTTCCTACAGGGAATTTGCTGATAAAGGAGAAGAGAGAGCTGGAGCAGTCAACAGAAGGGGAAGCCACATCAAGGATACTAGGGGAGTTGAGGGTTTTTAAAGGCTGAGAAAACTTAATAGAGGAAAAGCTGGACGAGAAATGGATGAATGATGGAGCAAATTTTCTGAGAAATCAGGAGGGGTTAGGAACAGAAACAAACTTAAGGGGATTCCTCATTTTCTAAGGCAGGAAGCAAGGCTGAACTTGAATATATATTTTGGTTTGGGGAGTAAAGGGTGAGAAAGTGAGGGGTGCTCTGATGAAAGGCTCTTCTATCAGGTCAGAGGTTACGTGGTAATGTGATGATTATGGTAGGGAGGGGAGGGGACAGAGGTGAATAATGAGAGTTTGGAATAGTTGCTGTGGAAAATGAGAAAAGGAAGCTGATAAAAACAATAAAAAGCATTGCTGAGCTCTCCGACCTCGTGCTACAGGCCCAATCTAACTTCCCACTGTAGCTTTAAGCTCCATCCAAAGTGGAGACTCACTTTGCCCTGCACTGACCTCACTCCTTCTCTTCACCTTCTGCAACCGTCTTATGTCTTCTGCCTTTCTTCAAACCTACCTGTTCTCTTATGCCCAGCTCAGGTAGATCATTTCTTGACCTCTTCAGCTGGCAGTGCTATCTATCCCCCTCCAGTCTTCTACAACAGCTGAACCACTCTTAAGAATTGTGTAATTTGCAAATATATTTTATCTTCTTTCCTAGATTGTAGGTTCCTTTGGGGTAAGAATCATGAGTTTGTCAGTGTCTCTGTTTCTCTTTCTCTCTCTGCCTAGGGCAGTGCTCCTGTGTTCAGTAAAAGTGAATGAATAAATTAATGAATGAAGTAAATCCACCAGATTATATAAGAGTGGTGGATGGACCTCTCTGTGAACCAGTTCATTTTATTTTGTCCTTTAATTAGCTCCTTTGTGGGTGGGTATCTAAAGTGTTGGCCCACACAAATTTAAGACATAGCTGAGTTAGCTAACAGATATAACTAGTCATTTATTGTGTATTAATTAGGAGGATATTGTTGTGGCTTATTGTTAAAATAAAACTCAGTATTTAGATCCTAATTAATTTGTATTACAGAATTTTATTTGGTATTATTCATTTGAGGAGCTAAACCAGAAGTTTCTCAGATGCTTCTAATTGCCTCCTTTGCCATATGGATATAGAAGTACAAATAGCAATCACAATTCAAATTCCATTTTTATAAACTCCAAGATCATAGGCTTCATTGGTTCATTGAAGTGCAGTAAAAAGTAGTCTTCTGCATCACCACAGCAATAGCAGCATTCCCTACCTGATTGCCATTGCCCCTACCCAAGGCCCAGCAAGTACATACTTGAATTTTTTCCTTATTTCAGCGATACTGGTCCATCCATTTAGATCCAGGTTTTCCTACCTCAACCCCAGCACAGTATCTTGCAAGATACTGCTAAAATGTCACACTCTCACCTTGGGGAAGAGTGGTCAGAACAGATAAAACCTTCAAATTCTAGGTCTGTCTGGGGACATTGTCCAGAGTAGGCCAATGTATTATCAAGTGAAGTGAATATAATGCAGAGGAAGGAGGAAAGGAAATCTTGCCGAAAACTGCCATCGTTTCTGTGCCAGTGTCTGCCTATAATGTTAAATTTCCACTCATTGGATTTTTCAGGCTCCTAGGTATTGGTGTACATATCGTATCTGGTGTTTTCTTTGGATAATCACTCAGGATTTTAACTTTGTTTTAGTTTTGTTTTTTTCCCTGCTGAAATATTACATAGAGATATTTGAAATGGGCAAGAAGATGAGAGAAAAAGGATCACTACTAGTTTTGGCCATCTCGTCCATGAAGCTTCCTGCTTCTATCAGCTAGAAATAGTCTCTCCCTTCCCTGAATTTATGTAGCCATTTAACTGTACTTGTATTAAGACAACTCAGTTTTAACCAGATATGGAAGCAACCTAAGTATCCATCAGCAGATGAATGGATAAAGAAGATGTGGCGCGCACACACACACACTCCCTCCCTCTCTCTCTCTCTCTCTCTCACACACACACACACACACACACACACACACACAATGGAATACTACTCAGCCATAGAAGGAACGAAATAATGCCATTTGCAGCAACGTGGATGCAACTAGAGATTACCATACTAAGTGAAGTCAGAAAGAGAAAGCTGAATACCATATGATATGACTTACATGTGGAATCTAAAACACGACACAAATGAACCTATGAAACAGAAACAGAATCATGGACATAGAGGACAGACTTGTGGTTGCCAAGGGGGAGGGGGTTGGGGGAAGGATGGAGTGGGAGGTTGGGGTTAGCAGATGTAAGCTATTATACAATATATGGAATGGATAAACAACAAGGTCCTACTGTACAGCACAGGAAACTATATTCAATATCCTATGATAAACCATAATGGAAAAGAATATATAAAGAATGCATATATATGTATAACTGAATCACTTTGCTGTACAGCAGTAATTAACACAACATTGTAAATCAACTATACTTCGATTTAAAAAGAAAGAAATTTTGCCATTTACAACAACATGGGTGGGTCTGGAGGATATTATGCTCAGTGAAATAAGTCAGACAAAGATAGACAGATACTGTATGTTTTCACTTATATGTGGAATCTAAAAAATAAAACGAATGAATATAATACAAACAGACTCATAGATGCAGGGAACAAACTAGTGGTTATCTGTGGGTAACTAGTGGTAGGGGTAGGGAAAGATGGCGAAGGTGATTAAAGAGGTGTAACTTAGGTGTAAAATAAATAAGATATAAGAATATATTGTACAACACAGGGAATATAGCCAAAATTTTATAATAATTTTAAATGGAATAAGTCTATAAAGATATCAAATCACTATATTGTACACCTGAAACTAATGTAACACTGTAAATCAACTCTACTTCAGTTTAAAAAAAGATGCCCCAGTTTGTGTTGCAGTTGCATACATGAACCTCACTTTTCTACACTGTTAGCCTGTTGCCTACTCTGCTCTTGCTCCCCTTTTTTCCAAGCCCTCAATACATATAACCAAAAACAGCTTTGTTGTTTCAGTTGTTAATTATACTGGTTAGCTGATTCATATCTAGAATGGCTTATTTTTAAGAGGGCTTCTTGGTGACTTTAATGAATCCTGAATGGATATCATGTTTTGTAGGTGCAGATGCCACAGTCTCAAAGAAGGTTAAAGAAGATCACTGCTTTCATAGTGTAGAGATTGATGGCATATGGCTACACTCTGACAGTATTCTAGAAGGTTCTCTGGATTTCTCCTTGTAATTGTCTGGTTAATTATTGTCTAAAATTGGTCATAGTTGATGATGCAGCCTAAGGAAAGAAAAAATCTTTCAGTGATGACAATTAGTCTGACTTTTTTCTGCTTTAAGGTTCCTAGACCTCTGTAATGATTAGAATCCATAAGAACTGGGAAAGCTATTCTAGAGCCTGATATTAAGGTCTTGTGTCTTCATTGAGGTCCTTTGCTTCTGAAGCACATCATGAAGTATCAGTGATCTTTCTTTCGAACAACGTTTCTTGATGCCCATGGGAAAGGAAGAACCAATCGCTGTCCTGATAAGGAACCAACATCACTGTATTTTAAAAACTCTAGGCTTCCTTAAATGACATAAATAAAGGTAAAGTGTTAGATATAAGAGTGACTTTGTAACAGCCAAGTTACAATCTCTGTAAGAGAAATATGAGCTAAATAAGAGAAATTACCTCAGTCATCTGTGGGGTGGCTACATTCCTGTTGCCCTCTCAAGTGAAAGCAATTCCTTGTCACCTCTTACTACCTTATGATGTTCTTAATTCACCTCTGACTTAATGCACCTTGGAGTTCAAAAAAATTGTTTTTGATTCTTTTTTGAGCCTTTTGTGTCTAAATACAGCAACTTTTACTCCTCGCACATATCAGTCAATCCATCTCTCCATTCTCTGCCTCAGCCTTCATTTCAGTGTAGAGAGGAGACTTAGCACCTGGCTTAGCCTTCCACTCCATCCCTGGTCCAGCCATCCTCGTAGGTAATTTCATGTATATGATGACACATTGAGCTCAGTTTCTTGATCTCCCCTTATCCATGCTGCTTCATACTTTGAATTTTGTCTTCTGGATTTGCTCTACCTGTTAAATATTAAATTTAAACATCTCATTCTCTGATGACAGTCTCATATTACAACTGTTGGTAAGTTATTCCCCCTGTAGCTGTTCTTTACTCTCGTGAAGATGTCTCTTCCCTAAATGCCTTTATTATTTTTCCCTATTCATAATCATTCACCTGCCTGCACTCTTTTCTCCAGTCCCAGTTATACTCTGTGGCCCATCCTTTAAACCATATTCTTGCCGGTATCCTCAGCACCTGAGCCTAGTGCCCACTCCTGGTAGAGGTGCAGTCCTGGGTCTCGCCAGCTGACTGCCTTTGCTCTACCTGCACTGGCTTTGAGCTCCACTGGAGAAAATCCCCCAAAGCATTCAGATTACTGCCAAAATAAATTCTTTGTTGCTGTATTAGTTTTCTAGGGCTGCTGTAACAAATTACCACAAACTGGGTTGGCTTAAAACAATAGAAACTTATTCTCTTACGGTCTGGAAGTTAGAAGCCTGAAATCAATGTGTCAGCAGGCACGCTCCCTCTGAAGTCTCTAGGGAAGAATCCTTTCTTGACTCTTCTGGCTTCTAGTGGTTGCCAACAATCCTTGGCATTCCTTGGCTTGTGGCAACATAACTCCAATCTCTGCCTCTGTCTTCACGTGGCCTTCTTTCCTGGGTCTGTCTTCTTCTTACAAGGATCCACTCATTTTGGATTTAGCTCCCGGCCTAATTCAGTACAGCCTTATCACAGTTTAACTAATTACATTTGCAAAGACCCTATTTCCAAATAAGATTGCATTCTGAGGTTCCAGTGGACATGGATTTGTGGGGTGGTGGGCGGCGGTGGAGATGGACACTCTCCAACCCAGTATAGTTGCGATCTCCAAAGAACCCTCAGTGCTGGCTGTTTTTCTGTATTTTCCTGGCCAGTTTTCCTGTTCTCTGCAGTAGCAATTTTAAGCCTCCCCTGCCCATCTTCAACACTCCAGCGCCCATCCTCCTGCCCCCATTTCTTTGGCAAAGAAATCAGACACCATCAAACCAGAACTCCCTTCTCTTTCTTCCCTCAGACCTACAGATTAGCTGAATCTATACTCATTGCTTCCTGTTGTAATGAAAGAGCTCATCCTCCTGTCTAAAATTTCATTTCATTTTTTTCCATCTCCACAATGTATCCCATAGCCTTCTGCCCCCTCAGGAAACTTCAATTTAAACTCTGTCCCCTTTCTTTACCATAGCTTTAAACTTGAACTTACTAATGGTTCCTGTCTTCAGCATTTAATGTCATTCAGATGTCTTCAGTCTTTAAAAAGAAAAAGGAAAAAACTGCACAATTGCACAACACTTTTCAATCCCTGCCCCTAGTCCAACTTTCCCTCTACCTCTTTCTTCCCTTCAGATATAAGCTTCTTAGAAGAGCTGGGGACACTGTCACTACGGCCTCACCCCTAATGGCTTCATGAGCTCTGTAGTCAGTCTCCCACCCCCGTGTCCCACTGAACTGGAACTGTTTCCCGTGTCGTAAAACCCAGATCTTGTCCCTTTTTGCCCCATCACCAACACTTGACCCTGATGGACATTTCCTTCTTCTAGAAACATTCCCTGCCTTGAGGGTAGTTTAGGGAGAATTGGGGGCCAGGATAAACTAGATAGAACTAGAAGACTTCTGAGATCTCCCTCAATTCTAGGAAGCTGATGATTTTCTGAGATTTCAAGAATCTTCAGTTCTTTTTGTTTATAAAACTTCTTGGCAATTTGTGGTTATTTAAACATGGTAGTGCTTTAAAAAAAAAATAACGTTGACTACAGAATGCAACATCTTTCTCATGCGGTTACTGTCATTTCAAAGAGATTATTTTTAGTAACTGTATTTGTTATTATAAAATTTCTCAGAAATAGAAAACCCATTAGGGAAACTTTAAATAGAAACTGGCTGTACTGAATTTAAAATTCTAAGATTCAAAGATACAGACTCTGAGGCATTATCTTTTGACGTTCTGAAGCCTGAAATGTCCTCTTGTAAGAATATAAGGTGTTTATATGTATAAAAACAGGCTTCTTATCTAATTTAATTTTACAGAGAGTAGGATGACAAATAATATAAGAGAAAATGGAAACTAAATGGTATGAGTTAAAACTTGAAGTTTATAATCTCCTCCCTTTCCTAACAATATCTATAGTATGAAGAACTCAGCTGTTTACAGCAAAGTTTTTTTTTTTGGAACAGTTCTCCCTTTAGACAAATAGTTTGACTCTTGATTTGAATTAAATCAAGTTGCTTCACTTGATTTTAATTCAAGAACAATGTTTAAAAGATAATTCCAAACGTCCCCAAGTCTTCCTGGCCTAAAGATGCAGATGAGTTTGGGTTAATATCAAAAAGTCCCATCTTGGAGCCCCTCCTGCATGGCTGCTGAACCTCATCGTCTCTGTCCAAGTGTCCACCAAGAATTTCCAAGTCTTGCTGTCTCATGGGCTCTGACCTTCTGGTAGAAGTTCTCCCTGCAGTCCATGGGCATGAGACACTGTGTTACTGCCTTGGGCATGGCCGCATGTCTCCCCAAGTTGCCAGCTCCCCAAGGGCCAGGCAGCCCTGTATTCTCTCATCCTGACAGAAGTCCCTCTAGGAAGGAGTTCCTTGAACTTTTAATCAGAATCTTCTCTTTCCCTGGGACTCAGTCCTTGGGGAAAAGCACCTTGCCCTCCTCTTCTGCCCTCCTTTTTACCAGTTTCTGCTCCTGTGTCTGGGCCCCAGACATCCTCCTAAGAGGGTCTCTTTACTCTGCCCTACCATTTATGCACATAGAGGTGGGGAGGGGGCAGGAAAGCGGATGCAAAGTCATATGGAGTTGCTGGTACAGCTGTTGGGAGCCAGAGCTCCGGGATTCTGAGGCTTCAGACTTTCCCCTTACCTTTCAGTCTCTGCCCCTTCCCCCTCAATTTTGTCCAGCTGTAGCAAATTAATAAAACATCCAATGAAAGCCAATCAAAACTTTAGAAGTCTTCAAAAGTTGTTAAAATGTTTTCCTTTCCAGTCTGAATTGCTACAAACTTGATAGTTAAACAAGATTTTGATAAACAGTACATTTTGTAAATTCTGCAAATTGGCTGTTTAGCAAATTGGCCTGCTTTCCAGTTCATCAGATATTAAATCTCAGTTAGGTTCACTTGGAACTTCCTACTGCCATAGCCCTTTCATGACAGTGAACTTCAGAACACTTAAAAAAACATTATGTCTTCAAATTCCACATTTAGTTTTATTGAGAACAAAATGTTGTCATCTCTCTGGGGTTTATAGTTGGTGTATGCAACACAGTACCAAGAGGTCTTCTAGGATATCACGTTCTTTGCAACAGAGCTGGATGCTGACCTTGCTTTTATTTATTTTTAATTGGATGAATTGTGGAAGGGGTGGTACTGGAATCTGTATTTATCCTAAGCCTGGAGAATCACTGTGAGGGGTGCCATGTTGAGGAGAAAAAAGTAGAGAAAGGGGATAGTGTATTGCCAGCTACTAAAGATTTAAATTAAGACATACAGCTGAATAAGATTATATTTTTCTCCTGTTCACCTAATTCCCAAATTATAAAACTATTGAAATTGGATGTCTGTTCTTTTAGCACTAGTATTATTAGAGTGAATTAAGTTTATGTATTACACTGTAGAAATGAAAGCAACAAAACAAACCACAGATTTGTATACCCGTAGATAGATAAACTGTAAATAAAAGCTATTTTATTTTTGTTATTCAAAGCATATCAGTGTATCCTACTATAAAGGGATGAACTTCCACCCACTGGTTTTGTAGTTCCCTTTGGGTCTGCTATTGATTGTACAAGCTTTTTGTCTTTGACGAATGTTTAGCAACAGGCAAGGATGCTTTCTGGCTGTTTGTCCAGCATTTGAGAAGGATCCCTTGGAATAAATCCCAGCATCCAAGAGGTGATTCAGTCTAAGTTCTTCTGCCTTCTGTATGGCCTTTTCCATTTTATTTTATTGAATTGTTTGTTTTGAAACAGGGATGATAATTATGTTTCCTCATGGTGAGAGTTCAAGGACATCCGCCTTCAGCTCTGCCCTTCTGGTGTATTTGATTTCACTCATATAGTCATTCTATTCCTAGAGTATCCAGAGAAGATTCTTGGAACCTGATTTGTCTATAAGAATTCTGGATCCTTCTGCTTAGTAAGGGCCTTCATCCAAACTCCTAGTAATTCTAGAATATTTGTGGGTGAAGAAGATGTGGCTTAAAACATCACTTAAAATAGTTTTTGTCGGCTATTCACTTTAAGCTTCTACCACTGATCTTAAAATACTCTAACTAGGGCTTTTGAGAGATTGCTTTTTAGATAGGAAAAAAGGTAGTTGCTTAGGTATCTGTTAGCTGAAACAGTTTTATAGGTGGCAAGGAAATCACTTGACTTCTAAAAAGAAGTGAAGAATGCCTTAGAAAGAATAAGATTTGATTTGCCCTACCAAGAAGCAATAAATCTATTTATTAGCCATTCAGTGTGATGGTGGATCTAATATATATTCTGGGAGTGATGAGGCATGGCTCCTACACAGCAGAGGGAAAATAATAGGCAAATTACAAATTTGGAATGGAAATTTGACATTAAAACAGATCATCTTATGTTTCACTGCTTGAAACTCAGAGTTTTGGGAACTAATTATCTAGCAGCAGGTAGTAACATGGGAATGTTAAAAATACATAGAAAACTCAGATACTTGAGCATGCAAAAGGGCCAGGTCAGTGTATTTTTACACAAATAAAACAAGTTCAAGGTTGCCAAATATCATACTAAAACAAGAAAGAACGGTAAGTACCTATAAACCAGCAAGGATGTGCCTAACTAAGGCTAATTAACGTGCCAGCCATTACTTTTCCAGATATCACTAATGAAATACACTGTATGATTTGTAACATCAAAGCATGCTGTGATGATACAAGTTTAATGTTCTAAAATGTTCTCTTCTTTTCAGTCCTTTAACTTAGAGCTAAATTTGGGTAGCTGATATGCAGTTTGCTTTGCATTTGTCAATCAGCAGATAAAAGGGTGCTACTTTCACAGGTTAGGGCATTGTAAAAACAGTTTGTATAACTAAAATTGTGTGTATTACAACTATAGAAGAAAAAAATGTTACTTTTCCAAACTAGAGTGTGATGATCAACCTGCTAAACTATCCTCATCACATTTGTAAAATGAGGATATCTGCCTTTTAGGATTATTGTCAGCAACAAATGACATAATCTCTGTAAAGAATTTAGCTCAGTACTTGGGCCACACTTATGTGTTCCATAAACACATCATAATTATTACTAATTAGCCGTTCAGGTACAGATTGCAGCACCTGAGCTTTGAGTTTAGCATTGAATTAAGAAGTAGACTATTTATGTTGCATCCTTTAAGGTGAAAACATGAAAGTCTTTTTGGAACTTTTTTTTTTTTTTTGCGGTACGTGGGCCTCTCACTGTTGTGGCCTCTCCCATTGCGGAGCACAGGCTCCGGACGCGCAGGCTCAGCGGCCATGGCTCACGGGCCCAGCCGCTCTGCGGCATCTTCCCGAACCGGGGCACGAACCCGTGTCCCCTGCATCGGCAGGCAGACTCTCAACCACTGCACCACCAGGGAAGCCCCACCCATTTCTTAGTACTGAATTCCTCCCATCTTCTATCTATTTTCTTTTAGGTACTTTCCTGTAATATATTATTACTGGTGTACAGCAAGCTCTCCTGACCTTCTTCCTTCTTGTCTGGTTTCCTATTCCTTGTCTTTTTCTTAGGCCCACTCTCTTCCGGATTCTTAGAGTAGACCCAGAAGTTTTCTTCTCTTAAGTTTTCATCATTCATTCCAATCACTGTTGTATTGAGTACAGTTCTGTGCCAGCTCTAACTTGCGCTACACTGGTACCTCCCCCTTATCTTCATTCTGCTAAACTTGAATTCTCAGTGCCTCCTGAACACATTGTGCTCATGCTCAGCTGGAACATTTGCCCTTGTTTGCAATGCCGTTCTTACCCGTCCATCAAGACTCAGCTACTCTCAGCATTTGCTGACCTTAATAAGGTACATTTAAAAATAATATGTTAGGAAGGTTTATTTATATCAAGGTGATATTTATACTAGTGTTTTCAAATAATAGGCCTGCATAGTTTTCCAGAAGAGAGCCTGAATTTTGGGATTCTAAGTTTGAATATGGTATGCTATCACTTTTCAAATATTTTTACTACATGCCAAGAACTGTTGTAGTATTTCTGGGCGATTTTTCAACACTAAAGTTCCTCTGTGAGTGAAGATAATTATTGAAGTGGTAAAACAACCAAAGCAGAACACTAACTTTACTTCAGTATATTATTTCTTTTGGTTAAAGACCAATAAGACCAAGATTGTGGGTTTAATCCCATGTGGGCCAGTTAACTTCCCACCAACAAATACTTTTCAGTATTCACATGAATATGACTAGTTTAGCACAAACCCATTTATCATGGTCAGTGCTGCAAGCTTCATATTCCAAGGTTAGCACATGCAGAAAATAATACATTTTAATGGAAGCATTTAAGTTATTTGGCAAGGTTTCTGTTTGCTTTTTTTCTTCAGTGCAGTGCCAGAGACATACCAACAAAGTGAAATAAACATTGCATGTAAGTTCTTTATAAATAGTATAATTCAGTTGGTGTATCATATAAATAAAAAATTCAAAAATGCAGAAGAAAGGAATAGCATAAATTTGGGAACAAGACAGACTTGGGGCCAACTCCAACAGTGGGCTATTAGGGCGAATATAGTGATGGGGCGGATGGGGCAGCTCGTTAGGTTGGGATCCACCCAGCTTCCTTCTCAAAAGGCTTTCCAGTGCTAGGCTGCAGTAGTTAGATTTAATCAAGTAGACAAATAGAAAACCCATAGGGTTTTTACCAGGAAATAATGGGCTGATAAGTGTGTACGAGAGATTATCCTTGCAGCTATGTTAACAGTACAGCAGAGTAGATTACTGAGCTTTTAAAACGACAGACACTTTCTGCTACCGTGGATCGTACTGGATCTTACCAGCAGCTTGGAAAATGCCCCTCAGAAGAGTGTATAGTTCATTCCTTCTGCACTAGAAAACCAGGTCCAGTATTTGAACCCCAAGAGATACCTTCTCAAGGCTCTCTTTAATTCATGAAGCCAGCCTTTAGGAAAATGGCTAAAGAGGTGAGGCTTCTGTTAGAGGCTCACCTCTTCCCTTCTGTGCTCCTCATCCTGGACTGAGATCCTGCTCATCTTCCACCATCTTAGGCTTCTACCTGGACACACAGGCATTAGGGGATTGTTCTAAACTCTGGACTTGTCCAAAATCATTCTGTGTCTCATTTAAGAGCTTTTCACAACCTGTTAGTCTAATCAGTTGTTTCTCCCGAATGCCTTTCTTTTTCTTCCTTTCTATGTATTATGCACATTCAGTAACGGAGAGCTTTTGTTTTGATGATCTGAAATACAGGAGTGATTCTAATGGCGGAAAGCTTAAGCACCGTGGCCATCTACGTGGGAGGCTTTGTGGGCACATTGATCCTTGAATGGTGCTCTTTCAATCACATTAACTCAGCCCTTGTTTCCCATCCCTTGTTTTAGATTGATCACATTTAAATTTAGAGAAAGATGAGATCTCTAGAAATGGAGACTACAACTTTCTTTCCGAGACAGTAAAACATAATAACTTAGAACATTTCAATGAGGAAGGAATTGAGCTAGAATCATAATTCCATGTCTTCCTAGCTGTGTGACCTTGCTGATTTATTTAACATTTTAGTAAATGAGGGTCATAAAGCTTTACCTAACACACTGTGCTGCTTCAGTGAAATAAAATATATATAAGAAGCTTAGCACTAACATATAATGCAAATTATATAAGAAACAAAATACGTAAGAAATAGTATCTGACACAGAGTAAACACTCAAAAAACTATTTCCTGAAAGTTGTAGTCTTTGGTACAGGGAGTAAATCATCAAAGAAATTATTCAAGAAATGATCCCAGATTTTTCTAGAAAGATGAATGTCTAGATTGAGAGAGCCAAGTGAGTGCGCAAGATAATGAAAGGAAAACACCTACCACAAATCATAATCATTATTAAATTTCAGAATACCAGCAACAAAACGAAGATCCTAAAAGCTTCGAAAGAGGGGAAATAACATTCAAAAGATCAAAAATTAGAGTGGCATCACAATTGCCCAAAGCAACACTGGTAGAAAAAATAGAGAAAGTCCTTTAATCTTTTGGAGGAAAATGGTTTCCAACTAAGAATTCTGAATATAGCTGAATTCTCCATCAAGTGTGAGGACAGAATAGGTGTTGTCAAAAATTTAATATCTCAAAGTTTACCTCGCATGCACCTTTCTTAGGGTGTTAAGGGAGGATGAATTCTAACAAAATAAAGAAGTAAACCAAAAAAGATAAAGATAGAAGATTCAGGAAACAAGGAAAACAGCCTAGGAAGGGAATCCCCAGGATGATGGTGAAGGAAGATCCAGGATGGTAGCTGCACAGCAGACCTTGAAGACTACAGTCCTGATCAAAGCAGAAGCATGGAGGGTTCCACGAAGAACGTCTCCAAGAGGATGAAACTGATAGACTGCCTGGTGTGTGTGAATGTACGGGAAGGAGATTTGTACTTCTGGCTAAGTTTGGGGATGAACTAATGGCAGGTCTCTAGAAAATTAAGCAAAGGGAAAAATAAGGCTGTTATTAACTCCAGGGAAAATGATTAGTAGCACAGGAAAAAAAATGTAATAGTTACTATACAACTACATTGTGAATATCTGCCTTGTTTTTTAAAGTAAACACTATTGACCTTATCAATATTGTGATATAACTGTATTAGGGCCATGGAGGAAGGGAGGAATGGGGAGAAATGCTACAAAAATCCTCATTTTTCATAGTTGGAAG